ATGCAGACATAAGAAGAAAAAGGAAAGATACACGTTGGAATAACACAATAAGGGATCCCCTTAAATTACACGGAACAACTAACTGAAAAACTAGGCATATATTAGAGAACCCAAGAGCGAGAGAGAGAGAGAGAGACTGTTCTCACTTTTCGCGATGGGAATAGAGGCAGAGTGGCCGATGTGGGTGGTCAAAGGGCGATCCAGCCCTTAGGTATGAGACCTGTTCATGGTTAGGTTTACGGTCGTGTGATCGAGCTGGCTACATTCGTACGAGACAGAGCGAGAGTAGGAATTAAAAGGAGAAAGGAAACAACAGGACGACGAAATCAAGGGTGGGCAGAGATGTTGTCACCTTTGACCTATACTCCTTCTTTCATTTCCTCGATCCTTTTCGGCGTGTGCTCGTGTATATACGCGTGTCTTCTTCCTGGTTCAGCTCGACGAACAGACGATCGCGCTGCCGATATCAATAATTACAGTCCGCGAGAGTCTCGCGTGCGCCTCTTTCTTTTTCTTCCTAGTTTGCCTGTCTTGGTTTCCTCTATCCGTTCTATCCGTTTGTATCGTGCACCAGCGGAGTAGAGCTCGAAGAAGAGAGAAATGCCACGAAGAGCCAACAACAACGGTGTCGTTCCGCACGCTTTGGCATTCCTTCTTTGTCGACGACGTCGCTAAATTGCAGAGAGGAAACGTTTAGTTTAGTAGTATTCACTGGTTGGATCCGACGAACCAGCGAAGGTCATTCCATTGCGAATTCATAGGGAACTATGTGTGTTTCGGCGGCGGCCGACCTGTCGTTTTCACCCTGACTGCGAATTATCTTCTTTTGCACGGCAACGGAGACAGCTCGTTCGTAAAAAACAGTGACTCAATTAATTGTGTAAGTGTGCTCGTTCAATTTATCGGAATGCATATTGTCGTGTATTTTCATCAGAGTATATACGTATTGAATGATTTTGAGAAGTGGCCTGAGAAATCAAGCTAGTTTAATATTTACATTATCTACGTTAGCTTTTCATTTTTGGATAAACTTTGAAATCACTAGGATTTTGTGCGTGCAACATTTCGCTGGTTAATGGGATGATTAAAAGTCCCATTTTAAGAGTTTTGAATGATACGGAGCATATTGTGCGATACAAGTTTATTATTAAAGTAGATCGATCAGCTCAGATTGTGATCTTTCTAAAATAATGATAATTCTATTAAATATAGAGGATTTCATTTCAACTGAACCTCTAGAGCACACGGTTTTTAGAAGGTTGAAGAATACTAATGGAGAAATTGGTTAAAAATATGTTGGATGCGATTTTTCAGAACTGAATTACATAAAATGTTCTATGAAACATCAATGAGTGAGGATGCACTATTCAAAACTTTGGATTTATCACCGCGTCGGGAGAGGCCAAGAAACTTTAATCGAATTCGCACCATTTTAGAAAAATCTAAGACCAATCGCTACACCAAAGTACGACGATATAATGAATTTATTACACTATATATCACCTGTGCACCATAATTATTTTAAATCCCTCCCGCATACACAAATTGGGGAAGAATGAGTTATAAATTACGAAACATTATTTGAATGTAAAGTTTCTTTAGTAGTGAATAAAATTTGAATATTTTTTAACTTTATAATACAAAACTGTAATATATTTTTTTTTTATTTTAAGGGATTATATATTATATTATATATTATTATATATTATATATTATATATTAT